CTCATGAAAATTACTTTTTTAAGAATAAATCCAATCCAAATTTAATATGGCCGCCGAAATTTATGAACATACCAAATGATAGTCCAAACTTTACTATTTAGTATGGTGTATAAAAATTAGGGGTTTTCGTGAGAATTTTCAAAGATATCATTATTTTGAAAACTGTTAGAGTGCCTAGTTACCGAGGGGTCCATAAATTTAAATTTTGCTGATCATTTTTATAGCTTCATAACTAGAGCTTCTGAATAAGTACAAATAAATTGGTATGGGAGTTCCTCGTACGTAAAATGGACTAAATTCAGCAATAATTGGTCATTTAAGAAATACTGCCTATTTAAGGCCAAATTTTTTTCAGTCTTATTGACTTTTTTTTTTTATCAAAGCAGCTGCTTCAAAACGTGATCATATTTATTAAAGGAATAAAACAAAATTTAAGAATTTAAGTATTTTTTGTATAACGTATAACTCATATTGCCCCTAATGGACTTAAGTGATTTTTTTCAGAAGAAAAACTTTAATGTTTATTGAAAACTAGAAAAACATCGTGTCATTTAAGAATCCAATTACCATTTATATAGCTGCTATAGAAATATTAAGGAAATGGTATAAGAAACTACTAATTGATCTTATTTTCAGAAATTTTATAAAATTGTCTAGTCTAGCATTTTTTGCTAGTCTAGCATTTTTTTAATATTCGCACTAGAGAAAAAAATATTTTTTCGACTAAAATTAAATCGATAGTTTAAGTAGGGTTCAATCATTAAATCTGCAACAAATTGTTTGTAAAATATGTTCAATAAGTTGATTTTCAATCGCCAAACCATTGGTGAAATTTGCCCCATTTTCCCTTATTTTCATGATGTAATGATTCATAAGGTTCTATCTCAAATTATACTAAGTTTCATTATCTTCAAGAGAAACAAACTGTTCCATGCAGCCAGCGTGGTTTGATATTTTTGTTCTGATTTTGACGAAATCAAAATACAGCTATTTTATGTTTGTTGATTTTTAGGAGGATGAGAATTAGAACATAAAGGTGATAACAAGCTTATACCCTATCAGGCAACATCCTTCGATGGATTATAATAAAAGTGTGCTTTTATTTCGGAAATAAAGGGTGTCCACAGCTAAATTGCATCACTTTCAAAAGGCTGTAACATTTTCCCCTTTGGGTTATTTTTTATGAAATTTTTAGTTAGATCGCCTCAGCGTGTATTGTTTACATTGTTTGAGTTTCATTGTGAAACTTCTAGTAGTTTTGAAAATGAAGTCGAAGGAACAGCGCGTGCGCGAGTAAATTTTACACACTCACCAACCCACATCTTTCGCACCGAGCCATCGGAAAGATGTTGGCAATCCAACAATCTACTGTTTCTCGTGTCATAAAACGTTTAACTGTCGATCGGAAGCAAGTGAGTGCAAGAAAAAGTGTTCCGTACTGCGTTGAAGAACACAAGCGAGTGGTTGCTGTCTTCAAACGCGAATCCAACTAATCCGTTCGTGATGTCGCGAAAAAACTGCACCTGACAAAAAGCTTCGTGCAGTAAACCAAGAAACGAGCAGGACTACGTGCATTCAAGGTTCAGGCAGCTAGAACGTGGGCACGTAAGCTGTACACACAAATGTTGCTCAAAACGATACAACATACGTAAAAGCAGACTTCAATCAAATTCCTGGAATCCAGTATGTGACTGCGAAAGACAAGTTCGTTGTTTCAGAGTCCCTCAGGAAACAGCAAGTATCGAAGCTCCCGAAGAAATTCATGATTTGGCAGGTGATTTGCTCGTGCGGAAAACGAAGCAAGCCTTTCGTAACAACTACAACCGTAAATGGCCAAGTCTACATGAATGAGTGCCTGAAGAAACGACTGCTTCCGTTTCTCAAATCACACAACGTTCCTACAATTGGCCGGATCTAACCTCTTTTCACTACTCCAAGGACGGTATGGAATGGTACAAGATGAATGGGGTAAATTTCGTGCCGAAGGATCTAAATCCCCAAAACATAGCGGAGTTGCGGCCGATCGAAAGATACTGGGCTATAATGAAGTACGGATTCCGTAGGCAGCCTAAAGTTGTCATTACGAAGCAGGAAATGTGATTTCAAAATGTGATGGTTGAAAGCAGAAAGCAATGTCGATTCAACCGTTGTACAAAACCTGACGGGTGGAATTAAAAAAAAGTGGCATTTGGATTTAGTGAAGAAATAGAGTGAAATAAAGATACGTAATCCAAGCTTATATATATATTGTTACATTCCCTGAACATTTCATGACAATAGGTTGAGAGACTTATTTTTGGTGAGTAATTCTTATTGATGCAATTTAACTGTGGACACCCTTTAATTTCTGACACCGGTAAATTTTCGAAGCATTGACCAGGAAAATCGGGAAAAAGCCCAGGAATTTTCAAAGCGAAGATGTATTTTATGGGAAGGGAGGTGGATCCAGAAGCTACCCGAGCAACACAGATGTTCTATAACAGTTTATTTAACCTTTATTTGACTGGTTTTGGTTGTAAAGCAGTTTACTCAACAATATTCTATGAATTTGTGTTACTTGGGTATGATCGGCCATGTAAAGGGTGGAAGGAGCAAAAAGGAGTCAATTCAAATATAGTACATTTCTGTTCAGCGTGCATAAAAAAATACAAAGCGTTCATTTACTAAGGTCTTTGTCTACGAAATCTCATGTGATTTTTGGTTTCAAAACTCCACATTCAGTTTTTGATGATTCGTTAAATAAAAATCTTTCTTTGTGAAAGCTGATTTTAAACAGCTTCATGACCAAGAATTTTATATTGCAACCCAAAGAGAAATAACTCAGACTTAAGCAAAACGACTAAGTCGAAATTTTTAAGAAAGCTATTTTAGTATATGTCCAGCCGAAGCTAGGACAAGAAAGCTATTTGTTCGGGCAAGGTTATTAACGCTGGTGAGCGGACGAAGCAATTATCTTTGAGTCAACTGTCATCATCAACCAGAATATTTACGTGAGCGAGTGTTTGAACAAATGTGTATTGCCTTGCATTAGACACCACTGATACTATTGGTCTGATCTCGCACCTTGTCATTGCGGTAAAATTACGTGAAAATTATATGAAACCAAAACGTTGTTGTTGTTCGGCCATTTTAAAAATATTGAACAATCATCACGATAGTTGAAGATGCTAATTAATGCACGATAAACCTCAAGAATGGTCCAGAAATAGTTGATAACATGATAAAGAATCAAAAACAAATGGAGTACATTGTCAAATGACTTAATTTAACAATACAATAAGGTTGTGCAAAACTTAATGGAAGGGGTCAACTGTTAAGTCCATGAATTCGTATTTGGCAAAGAATAGAGCGAACTCCACAATATTAGGGTTTTACTCTTCCATTAAGCCAGAATAATATAAAGCAGATGATTAATTTATTAACATTATTTTTCTTCACTTAATTTTGTGTGACTACTTTTTGCTCGTTCCACCCTTTACTAGGTAAAGTCAAATATGCTACGAGGGTGGAGGAATAGGGTTTCAATTGCCACTCCATTTAAAGCATTGTGCGGTCCTTGTCGATCTAAGGATTTATTATTTTCAACGGTTATTATTACTGAATAGTGCTGATCAATGGCTTGTAGGTTCTGTGATGGATTGATTTTTAACGAAAAATAAACATTTTGATTTTTGTTTAAGATTACGATCCCTATTTTGCTCAATAAATGATTCAACTCAACACAAATTGAATTGTAGCCTTCTTCGCACATTTTTTCTCACGCTCCATTCGTCTGATCTGCCCAAGTCCCAATCATCCATCCATCATGCCTGAACCCAGTCCCATTCAAACAACCTTCTCGTGGTGGTGAGTCAACGTTTCGGGTCCCTCTCACTAGCGGAGTTCCCACCCCGAATTCCGCACCAATCCATGAATCTATGAATCAACCCGTTGTCGATTGTCGATTTTGCTCTACGCACCAATTCAAATTCCGCTACACTACAGTCTCGGGTCGGCGGCATCCGTCGCCGGCTGATGGCTTGCGTACAACCACCAGTCACCACCACAACCACAACCGGATAGTAGAAAGTACCACCGGAGCAAAACAAGAAACACGCAGTATTTTAAAGAGACGCACAAAAACAACCTGATGGCTGGCTCTGGTGTGCGTGTGCGTTGAGGTGCTTTTAAATAGTGCGTGAATTGCTGAAATTCCTTTCCCGCTGTGCTATTCCGCCGTTTCGTATCTATATGAAGCTCTTTCTTTGCTGTTCTCTAATCTCGACAAATTCCGAACTGCACTGAGAACAATGGAATTTCGTGTGCACTTTGGAGGATTTCGTCCCGAGTATTCCCAATGTTGTTTTGTTGGGGCCTGTTCATAAACTACGTAGACAGTTTTTTTTGGGATTCTTGACCCCCCCTCCCCCTGCGTAGACAATTGTCCATACAAATTTTTTAAAATTTGTATGGGTCGTGGATAATTGTCAACCCCCCCCCCCCTCCTAAACTGTCTACGTAGTTTATGGACAGCCCCTTGTGTGTGGTGCCTATCAGAAAAGTTGGATTTATTTGCTTGCTTGGTCTGGCTCCAACCGAATTTCCGTCATCCTTTCCTCCTTTCGATTTTGTAGTGCTATTTTGGGATTGTGTTCAGAAATATCCAAAGGGAGAATTTTAGCTAAAGTTTGTTGTTTACGGTGACAGGGGCGTGTAGAGGCTTCTTTAGGGAATTTCAGAGACAAGGCATTTTCTCAGCCCTTGCCTAAACGACTAACCATTCCTAGCGAAGTACATTACTGGTGTGACACAGATTATCGAGCCGAGAAAGCTATTTTCGGGTTGAGAAAGCTTTTTGGTTGAACTGGTGTCAGGCGGCGGAGAGGAGCAGGGCCGTGCAGACTGAAAACGAACGACAACCCGTAGCATTGTTGTGAATTAAATTTAGCAACCGAATCTCGATACCGTCAAGATACTAACCTAGATTCCTTCTTGTTTGTGTCTTCTCTTTTTCTGAACAGATACTGCCAGATTAGCTCGGAAGACGGCGGAGGTGGAGGCGGTGGTGGCTCCAACGGCAGCAACAATAACACAGCCGTCCACGGCATCGTAATGGACAAGGACGAAAAGCGGATGCGCCGGGAGATTGCCAACAGCAACGAAAGAAGGCGCATGCAGAGCATAAACGCCGGATTCCAGAGTCTTCGACAGATGCTGCCGCATCACGAGGGCGAAAAGTTGAGCAAGGTGAGTGTCGTTAGAAGGGATGCTTTCGTTTCGTTATATTTTGGGATGGCAGGTGGAAGAGCAAATTAGAATCGAACTTCTGATAAGGTTCCAATCATTTGCCGGAACTGTACCATGTACCATGTTACCTTTCAGTATTCCACGAGACTTTACCGCAGTCTATCCCCAGACAGCTTGCACTTGAACTCCACCGTAAAGCTCGTTAATCATTCGCGCTCACAGTTTGAGGCTAAAGCCATTAACTCGTGCACCTCGTGCTGGTGGTAGGGCATCATCCATGTTGGTCGCGTGGGATGAAGCTGGGCTGAGCTCCCACGAAAAGAACAGATGCAGGGCGATGAGGGGCGCCAAGGCGAAAAGAAAAGCATCACGACGACCTCTCCCGGCAGCAGAGCCGAGCAGCAATCGACGGCGGCCGGCCATCAAAGAGCTTCGATTAAATGTTGCAACGCGCGATCAAGGCTAGCAGTCACGTCCGAACGCTTTTCGCGCCATTCAATCAAAAAGATCAATCATTTTTTATGAGTCTCCCCTGTTCCTGAGAAAAATGCGAACGGAAGGCACAGGGGGAAGAGGTGGGGACGTAAACTTGTTCTAAATAGCTCTATAAAGCGGAAAAGTTGCAACTGACTGGCTGGTTGCAACAATGTTGCACCAGCCAGGGCAGCAAGTTGATAATAATAGCAACTAAGGAAGAAACGTGGGGGCCACCCACATCCACCGGCTGTGGCTGTATTGGAAGAAAGGAATGTGTCGATACTAATTAAATACGCACGCATTCTTCCTGGTTCCACTTCGGCTTCGGGCTGAATCGATTCGCGGTGCATTGTGAGATAGTTAGCATTAATCAATTTAATCCGATCCCCGGGAGCGATCTTCCATTGCCTCTATACGAGGAGCAAATTGTTTGATTACTATAATTGTTTCCGAGCTCTCGTTTGCCATGTATGCAATCATATGTCGGTTGGTAACTAGTTAAGTGTATCGATATCAGGGAATAGAGGGAATTGGCAATCATTGCTCTGGGTGCACACTTTCAAGGTCCTTCAGCGCCGTATGTGGAGCTAATGAAGCTTGACTGGTGCAAGGTCGCACGCCATGCTAATTAAAAATAATTGACAGTCGTAAAACTGCAACCCCTACTGTTGATTACTTTTGCTTTCCTGTCTGTGCTCTGCCCCTACTTCATCTCTGTTTAAGTGTTGGCGCTCGGTGAATATCTCTGATGGTGGAGATCGCGATGTGCATTCTAGGGCTAGGGTGGCCCGCTTCAATTTTATGTCTGACAGTGGACTTCAATTTCGCGAGAAGAAAAATCTGAAAATTAGCGAAGTATTGTCATCAGTGGCGTGGTGTAACATCACAATTTAGAGCCATAACTAGGGGAAATGGCTCTAATGTTGGCCTATGGATGTAACATTGGGCTCATCGCTAAAAATCTGCTGTTCATCAATTTTATCTAGATAAACGCGTCATTGGGACGGTACTAATGGATACTTTTGGTCGCTATTAAAAATTTAGTCGATTGCTGAATTTATGTATGAGCCGACATTACATCCATTTCCCCTATATTTAAATTGGTTCAAAATGTAAAGGGTCTTCTACTTCGTTCCTTTATTTAACGTCAGTCTCTGTTCCGCATTCTAATGCCAATCACCGACGGACATCGATTGCAATCCATTGACGGTAATCGAATGTGCAGCTTCAGAACAGCTTCCACACCTGCGTAGGGTATCGCACCCATTCAATTCAACACACATGGGCCGGGACCATGGGGTGAGAAAGCAGTCACGCTTATCACTACACCACCGGTGCCGGCTATATAGGGTCTTCTAGTTTCACTGATTTGTACCGATTTAAAGCAATATATTTTTATTTTTTGACGTTTTGACAGTTGTTGAACAGGTAGATTGAGGTTAGGGCGACGCCACTGATTAAAAGACAATAGGGTTAAAAAACATAGTGATTTCCTAATTCTGGTACACTTTGTAATTCAATTTACTTTACCTTACCGGATATCTGGCTTGAACGCCGTTTGGCTGATTGACATTTGGTTGAATAGATCATTTTGTCGAATGCCAACTAGCCGAATACTTGAGAAGAATTCATCCATTTTTTAACAGTATTAGAAGCTTGATTTGAAATATGATACTGAAAATGGAGATATTTAATGATTGCAGACCCTAAGTTTAGGTATAATTCCATTCGATATTTGAGATAGTTTGGTCAGGATGCGACCCTGCGTTGTGTTTTGATTTATGCTTTTCAGGAAAGGCAGTGGGCATCAAATTAAAAAAAATATGTTCTTTTCGGACAAAGTAAATTAGAGGCACTATTCCAAGATCTTTGACTTTTAACAATTCTGAAGTTTCATGGGACTCTTTAGATTGGAAAATGATCAATTTGATATAGGGTAGAGAACTACTTCGGGCTAATCGCCCATTTTGGGCCTATCGAGCAGAAAACTTCAAATAAATCCATGATATCAGAGTTAGCAAGTCAATTATGCGTTTGGTATGACATTATTACCAAAAACAAAAGAAGCGCTCCGACCGAATCAATTTTTATCTTCATCCGATAGGCCGAAGTGAATTCATTTGCATTTCAATGGCGTTTCAATGCGTTAGGCCGAGTTTAGAATCCGTAGGCCGGGTTCGGTGTCAAGAAGCAATGTTAGACTTTTGACAATATCTCAACGGTTGGTTTCTCTTTATCAAATCTTACGGTACATAAAGAAAGGTAAATGGAAGCCATCAGTAATAATAACATTCCTTTTGGTGCTAAACTGCGCTAGTTAACCCTACTGTATTTTTTTAATTAATTATTATTTTTGAATCGTAGTTTTTTTTCAATTTCTGATAAAATTTCAACCACACCAACAGTAAGGGAATGTAAGAAAAGTTTCACCAATTGTGCGAATTGAATCCTCTTTTCGTGCCACTCGCAAGATATCAGAGTTTCATATTTTTAGCAGACTAGCGAACCGGGAACTAACCGAGAATTTGAAAAGTAACCGGGAAAACCGGGGATAGCTTGGGAATTCTATGGGTGAATCGGAAAACCACGCCAATGTTTCAAAATCAACTAGTAAAAAATAGCAAGTTTCAACAAAAAGAAAGACTTGCTCTTAAAGTTAACTATACATTATTCTTGAATTTTGTACAATTCGAAATCAAAGTTAAAATTTTTTTTTTCCAGAATTTTATTACCATTCAAAATTATTACCTTGGATGTCTGCTTATAATTATCATGGAATTCTTCTTAAAATTACCTAGACGCTCTTCTTATACTTACCTTAGAGTTCTTCTTGAAATTCCTTTGAAACTCTCCTAATAATTTCCTTGGAATCAATCCTTTAAATTTGTCGAACCTCTTAACGGAATCCCTTTATGAAGAGCTTTGAGTGGGTTGGTTTATTTCCTTTAAATTCTGTTATAATTGCTAATCTTTTGACAGATAGGCGTATTTCGTCTACTACTTGCAGACTTCATCAGTGCCAAGTGGTGTTGAGTACTTGGCACCAATGAAGTCTGCAAGTAGTAGACGAAATAAGCGAATCTGTCAAAAGATAAGCAATTATAACGGAATTTAAAGGAAATAAACCAACCCACTTAAAGCTCTTCATTCCTTGGAATCCTTTGAAACTATCCTGAAGATTCGATTCCTTCATTTTTTTTTCAATTTTCTTTGAACTGCAGTCAAAACTCTTCTCAGAAATCCTTCGAAATTCTCTTCAGAAATCTCTTGAAATTTTCCTCACAAATCGTTTGAATTCACTTCTGAATTTTACTTGAAACTTTCATTTGAAATTCTTAAAGTTCCGTTATGAATCTTCCTTAGTGGTCTTTTGAAATTGTCTTCTGAATACACTTTAAATTATATTTTTAATTGCTGTTGAATTTTCATCGGATCTCTCGGAATGTTAATTATAATTCACTTGCTATTCTCCTCACAATCATACAATTCTTTTCAGAAGCAGCTAGCAATTCTGCTTGAAGTTTTCTTAACAATTCCTGTGGAATTATTCTAAGAAAAATCTAGGAATTCCTTTTTTCTACCCAGATATATCTTGGAATTTATTTCAGAATTGCTGAAATCCACGTAAAAACCCTGATTAAAAAACTACAAGGCACAGCCCTATGGGGTTGTACGCAATGCTGACGTAGGACTACGTGGTCTTATATAATAAATGTTATTTGATAACTGAAGCAGGAGCTTGTGTTTTGTGTAGGAATAGGAATTTGAGCGGGGTTCTCTCTGTTTATACTCTTTTAGATAAATTTCTAAATTTAACTCTTTTAGATAATCTTGGTGGCCCATAAAACGGCTGATAGTAGTACAGGCTTAAAGCCTTTGGAAGATGATGATGACGTGTAGGCAGCTGGATCGGACCGAACAATCCCATATTCTTCTAAAGCTCGTCCCCTTTTTAGTTTTTCTCGTTAAACTCCTTCTCTCAACAAGTTGGTAAATCTTAGCCTTTAGCAGAAAGACGCTTAACACTTTTTCGGCAAATTTAAGATCCTGTTTCACGTCATGGTTCTTCTCTTTGCCTGTTCAGATAAATTACCCCCATATAGAAATCACAGAGGTAGTCCTACGTCAAAAACACATAAAAATGATGTTCGAAGCGCATTTTAGATTCAATCAAAGTAGAAAAAGACTACCGCGTTAATCCGAAAACCGCGTAAAACCGTTATTTCGAAATCAGCGTAAATTTCAAAACCCGCAGAAAACCCCGTAATTTCTTAAATTCGCGCAAAAAAAAATCCTGAGAATACAAAAAAAAAGTTTTAACCCCGTTTCTGATTGAATCTAAGTGAATAAAGACCTGTGTAGATTTTGAAAACCATTTACAAAACTATGAAAGTTTGGAAATCCATGTAAAAACCACCTAAATGCCGGAATCCGTGCTTAAAACCATGTTAGAACGCATTTCTGATTTAATACAAGTGAAAAATCTGCGTAAATTTCAATAACCGTTTAAAACCGCTTAAAAA